CCATACGCGGCTCATTTTCTGCAAACTTCATGGCTCTATATCTCGGTAAGTACCGATGGCAAAAATTTTTTTTTTGGACTAAAACACTCAGAAAAATAATCTTAACATTTTCATAAGAAAAAATAATTTTTTTTTTTTTTGAATATTTGGCGACATAGAATGACAGTTTCAGAGAGGGACCTGAAACAGTCAAAGGGTTAAAGTAAGCGGTATGCGAAATAATCGCTATGTGATGCCATCGTTATGCGGGGGTCCACTGTAGTGTAAAGAGAGAATGGTTTCGAATGTTTCTGAATAAATTTAGAGTGGACGTTGTGTTCCTACAGGAGCACAATTTTAAGGAGGGTAGGGTGTTGGAGATGGAGGGGTTTCAGGTGGTAACCCTGCCATCTGCCCGTTTGAAAGGGGGGGTGGGTATCTTAATTAGGGAGGCGAGCCCTTTTGGGTTTGCGGGAGAAGTGAGGGGGGGGGGGGGGAAGGGTGTGCTGCGCGTAGATGGTTTGTGGATGGGAAAACGTGTGGCTTTTATTAGTGTATATGCCCCTGCAGAGAATAACGTACAGGTGAAGCAGGAGTTTGTGTGCGGGACCTTGTGTTTTTTTTTCCGTGCATTACCGGGAGGTGGCAATAGTAGGAGGTGATTGGAATTGCGTCATTAGGAGGGCGATGTGGAACCGAAAGGGGCCCAGGTTATGTGTCGGTGGGCCCTACGAGATTTATTGAGGGATATTAGGTTAAGAGACGCATTCGAGGGGGGGGCGTGGAGACAGAGCATACATTTGTTAGGGGAGGGTATGCAGCGAGGTTAGATAGGTGTATCTTTCTCACGGGGTTGTAGTGAGAGCTTTCAAAACTGTTGAAGTAGCATGGTCAGATCATTAGAGCAGTGTTGGTGGGGGTTGGGTGGGAGGCGCTTGGGGAAAAATAAAGGAGTTACGGGAAATTAAATATAATGCATTGGTGATGGGGGGGGGGGTTTAGAGGGATTTTTGTCCTTGGAAGGAGCTTTGAGGGGCACGGGGGAAAGTGGAAGATGTTTTTCCCAATGGTGGGATTGGTTGCCAAGGAAAGGTTTAGGAAATTTATGTGGGGGTGGGAAAACTATAAATTTTTTTAAAATATGGGTTTTCAAATTTTTTGGAGGACATTTTAAGGGGCTTTTTGGGAAGGGGGCTTGGGGGGGCAACTATCCTGGATAAAATTGTTGGGTCAAGGGGAGCTGAGGGGTTAAAAAATGAGAGTTTAAGCGGAAGGGTGAGCAGGGGTGGGGGTGCTTTGGGAGACAAGCCACGGGTGTGTGTTGCGACTCAAAAACAAAGACGCAGTTACAGTTTTCGGGTTAGGGTAACGAGATGGCGGGGGGTTAAGAAGGGTAGGGTTTACTAACTAAAAAAGGGAATGGTGTGATGCGAAAAGGGTATGAAGGTATGGACAAAAGTGGGAAGGGGGAAAAATGTGGATTTAGAAAAGGGTGTGTGAGTATGTGACTGTAATTTAGGGAATAGTGATAGAAAGGCTTTGGGGGGGGGTAAAAACAGGGAGGAAATAGATTTGGGCCCTTTAAGGGGAATGAGGAAAGGCGCCCCGGGGAAATAGACGGTTTCCCGGCTGAATTTTATCCCCACTTTGGGAGGGAAAAGGGGGTTTTTCATGGGGTGGGTTTTTAAATCAGATGAAGGAAAAGGGGTTTGGGGGGATGGGGGCAAAAGAAAGCAACGCGTTGTGTGTTGGTCCGAAGGGTAAGGGGCAGCACACTCTCAAGGAAGTACCGTGCCATACCCCTGTTATGTGTTTATAAGTTGTTCGCTAAAGTCTTGGGTAATGGTTCAAAAGTGTGGTAGGGAGAGGGTTTCGAAAACGCAGTTGGTTTGCCGGGAAAAGGTCGATGATTGGGGTCGGGAAATACTGCAAGTTTTTGGAGTAAAGGGGGGGGGAGGGAGGGGGGCGTTTTTGGGCTTTAGATGGCAGGGGGCTATGACGGGGTGGAACGAGGAGCATTGGAAGCTATACTTAGGAGGCGGGTTATGGGGAAGAAATTTTTAATTGGGTAACCCGTTGTACAATGGACCAAGATGGGGGTACAGATTAATGGATGCTTGGGGGAGGGATTGTAATGGGGGGGGAATTAGGCGGGGGTTCCCCATGTCACAAATGTTGTTTGCGTGCATTCAGCCCCCTTTTATAGAAGTTGAAGTTTGTAGGACACGAGGGGGTAGGGGGGGTGGGGAGGGAAAAGTGGGGCCCCGGGAAAAATAGGAAAAAGCGAACAACTCCTGGTTCGGGAGGGGGGTTGGTTTTTGGAGTTTTTTGTGCAACATTTGGGAATGCACCAGGGATGCAGGTAAATAGAGGAAGTCAATGATCTGGGGTTGGGTGATTGGGGGTGGGGGGGGGGGGAGATGTAACTTTGTGAGAAAACAAACGGTGTTTTTAAAAAATTTTTTGTATCCCTAAAAGGGGTGATTTGGAAGCGCTCGGGAGGAAAACTCAAAAATTTAAAAAAAGGTTCGGGGGCTTGGGGGCATTGCACCATCATCTGACTCTGTGCAACGAGTGATTGTTTAAATGTATTTTGTATAGAAAGGGTTTGGCACTAGCGCCGTGTTCCCTTTTAACAGGGACGGCGATTGGGGAATTCTGGACGATGTTTAACTTTTTGGGGGGTTAAAGTGCGTTTGGCTGGGGAAGGGGTTTGAAAGTTACCTGTGCGCCAGGGTGGGGGGGTTGAGGGATCTGAGAAGGGGATTAAATGTGGTTTCTTAAATGGGAGGTTTTCACGAAGGTTGGTGGGGGCAGTGGGAAAAGTTATGATGGGTTTGGGTATTTGTAGGGGGTGTGGGTTTGGGGGAATGTAAAAACTTTTTTGGGGGTTTTGATGTTGGTTAAAAACCCCCAGGAAATTCGAGTGGGGGTTTTTGTGAAAGCTGTTTGCAGACAGGATTGTTGACCAGTTGGGGGATTTTTTCCCATGTAGCATGGACATATTGGTATGGGTTTACAGGTTGAATTTAAAACCTAGGGTTTAAGGGGGTAAGTACTTTTTTCAGGGCATACCCCCGGGGGGGAGGTACTAAGAACCGGGGGGTAATTGTGGGCGGGAAGGTGTGGAATCTGTGGGGAGGATGAGACGGGGTTCCTGCAGTAATTTTGTGGGGAACTGGAGGGGGTTAGGTATTGGTTTTTGTAGGGGAGTACAGGGGGGGGGGGGCGAGGGGTGTCGGTTCTGCGTGCACTAAGCCTAGATGTGGGAGGGTTTGATGAGATGTTATAAGAGTTTGGATTTATAATAGTGGATTATTATTATAGTGGGTGATAGGGGGGGGGGGAATTTTTGAGGTCGGGGCGGGGGGACTAGCGGGGAAGGGGTTTTTCGTTAATGTGTCGTAATAGAGAACGATGGGAGGAGGTGGGGAAGGATTTTTTGGAAGGTTTGAATTGTTAAAGTTAGGGGTTTTTCATCAATTTTCAACTTGGGCTGAGTGAGTAAAGGGGGGGGTTTTTTGGGATTTAAAACGGGAAGGGGGGTTTTTAGGGGGGCACAGCGGGTCGCCTCCTGGGGAGGGGTGGGGAGTAAGGGTATGTGGGTTTGAAGGGTAGATGAGTGGCATACGTTAGTGCATCAATGGGCACAAAAAACCAAAGGGGATATCAAGTAAATTTGTAGTACTGAAGGGGAATTTTGTGTTTGATTGTCGGGTCGTCATGACCCTTTTTTATTAAGTGTGAATGGTGTCAAGATTATGTTTAAGACCGTGAAGAGCTTTAGGGCTTATTGGGGCGTCGTTTAAGCCTTTTTTGGGGATATTTCGTGCGATAATTGTTCGCAATGAGGGTTTTTTAAATTATGTTTGTGTTTAGTGTTTTGGGGTTTTTTGGGTTACTGTCTTTTTTTTGCATTATATAATGTGCCATCTAGGTTGCTGGAGTTGGAACGTAATGACTTCCATAAAATTTTTTAATGCCTCGTTAAAAAGTTTGTAATGGGAGAGTATGGGTTTTGTTTTACTTTTTTAAAAGTCTCAGCCGGTGGAAAAAAGGCTGTATTTTATTTTTGTAATATTTGTTAAAATTTATTTTTGTGTAAGTGTGAGGCTTGGATTTTTTTTTATTTAGGATTGATTTTTAATTTTTTTTCAATGCTTAAAAAGAGATTGTAGTGGGCATGTATGTATGTGCTTAGGTACTTCTTATTGTATGGGGTTAATTTTGGGAAAAGCAGTGATTGTTTTTAACTGAATTGTGATAAAGGGTTTTTACTTTGATTATCCCGTAAGGTTGTGAACCCTTTTTATATGTCCGTCATAGTATGTTAACTATACAAAACTGAAAGTTGTATATAGTTTTATTTTTATAGTTTATATTTTAAATTTGTTTATATAGTTTTTGTTTAATTGTTTTCTGATGTTATATGGAAAATTTGTGTGTTATGGGAACCTCTTTTTGTCAATTACAAGTGTTGTTAAAAATTTGGGTTTGTGTATGTTGTTAGGATTGGGATCCTATGTACCCCCTTTTTTTCTTTTTTAATATCAAGCTGTAAAGTTTTTAAAAAAAAAATATAAAAAAAAAAAAATCCCCTTAAGTTCCTTGATGCTGGTGAGGGGCTCTTGATCTAGGGAATTGGATCTGTGTCCTGTTCCCTGTTGAACCTGAAAAACCCTTCACGCCCCCCCAAAAGGCGCTGAAATCCTACGGGTTTAGCGCTTCCCCTTGATTATAAGAATTATCAGGATTCATATTAGGACAGAAATAGCTCCAATTTCTTGGATCAAGAACCCTTGACAGTCATCAAGGCACTTCACTTGAAAGGACAAACAAGTTACCATAACTGGACATGAGAGAAAGCAGTAAAGGGTAATGGGTCAATAAGGTCACCGCCTCTGACCGTCTCCCGGTGTTTAAAACTCTACTTAAAATATACCCAAAAGCTATACCAATATACTGAATTATACACATACACTTAATTCTACTCATATACTACATTGTTAATAATATATTACCTGGTAAGTTCTAGCAGTAAGCTGGCTAAGCTGAGCCCCTTGACTGACCTGGCCTTCACCATAGTCAATATTTGCGGCACCTTCATGAAACCACACAGACCTATGGTGGTTACATCACAGAAGGTGATTAACGAGTCTATTAAGAGAGACATAATAACCCTGGATGACAGTACGTGTAGTAACACCCGCGGCCCCGACACTTAATTAACCTGGCAGTGTTGTTGTACTTGTTGATGTGAAGGTTCACCCGCCACTGAGCCGTACTGTCTCCCCCCCCCCCGCCTAGCCCAGCCCCTGTCCCATCATGTCCATGTCCCACCCCGTCCCTGTCCCACCCCGTCCCTGTCCCACCCCGTCCCTGTCCCACCCCGTCCTGTCCCACAGCGTCCCTGTCCCACCCCGTCCCTGTCCCATCCCGTCCATGTCCCATCCCGTCGTCCCATCACGTCCCTGTCCCACCCCGTCCCTGTCCCACCCCGTCCCTGTCCCACCCCGTCCCTGTCCCATCCCGCACCTGTCCCATCCCGTCCCTGTCCCATCCCGCACCTGTCCCATCCCGCACCTGTCCCATCACGTCCCTGTCCCATCACGTCCCTGTCCCATCCCGTCCCTGTCCCACCCCGTCCCCTGTCCACCCGGTCTAAATAATAATAATAATAATAATAATAATAATAATAATATTAATATCTTCATTTACTACAAGTACATGTACAAGGTATACAGTCTTAGCTGACATCAATGACATAGTACTGTATAGAAAACCCCTTGTTATGCAGAGCATTTCAAGCAAATTAAGTTAGTTTTGTCCCAGGATACGACCCACACCAGTCGACTAACACCCAGGCACCTATTTTAAAATGACGAGTGAACAGGGACAGTAGGTGTAATATCGAAACACGTCCCTAATGTTTTCTAGCCGTACCGGAGGAGATTCGAACCCCGTGCCTCAGCGTGTGAGCTGAGTGCGCTAGCGATCGAGCTGATCCATCCCGCCTCTGGTCCATCCCGTCCCTGGTCCACTTTACCCCTTGGTCCACCTTTTATCGATCCGTAGTGCAGTCCCAGAACCTGCAGAAATTGTCAACACACCTCCCAACAATTCTATCCAACCAAAAGTGAAATTGTGCAAATACTATGCTTGGAATATCAGGAAAAAAAATGGGACATGCAACTTTGAGCATCCCGAAAAATGAAGCGACCTCATGTCTAAAGGAGCGTATCGTTCATCTTCCTGTACTTTCTTTCATCCAAAAATGTGTCACTCCTCGGTCCTCCAAAAGCAGTGTTACAACATCAACTGCCCTGTATACCATCTAAAAGGGACCAGGAGGCACAGACCCCAAAAGACAAACAATAGTAGCTACGGCAACCCAACTCCAGGTGATTTTTGTAGTGGCAGGAAATGGAAAAAGAAAATGGAAGGAAATAACAAAAATAGTTAATTCAATTCAATTCAATTCAATTCAAGTTTATTCTCTATAAGGGTTACAATGTGGGGTTTACAAGTTTTGGGTATTGTGTGGTTTGCATGTTATAAAAAACTAATTACAGAGGGGGCCACTAGGACACCTAGCATGGCTAGGCATTTCGAGCAGACTTAGATTAATTCTTAACATTAAATCCTTACAGATTATGGTATTAAGGCTAAGTGACTACATCATAATTTGTGAGTTTAGCAATGTGAATGCTTTTGTTTTGGCACAATACAAGGTGTCTATATTGGAGTATCATAGGCAAACTTATGACTAGTTAGGATTTATTATTTTAAGATTAAGATTAGTATTTCTGGGTTTATAGTCAGTGGGTGAGTGAGTGTAATTGTGAACCACCAGGTGGTTATCATGTAGTTAGTTCTCGGGGTGGATCAGAGAGATAAGATGCTTTCTAACTGTAGTTTTGAAAGTGATAAATGTGTCTGCAGTTCTAGAGTTTTCAGGTAGGGTGTTCCAGATTTTAGGTCCTTTGAAATATATTGAATTTTTGTTAAGGTTTAGTCGAACACTGAGAATGTCATAGAGATGTTTGTGTCTAATGTTATGCCTGTGGATCCTGTCACAACTATCAAGAAAGCGTTTTAGGTCAAGGTTAATATTGGAATTTAAGGTCCTGTAGATATAGATTGCACAGTAGTAAGTGTGAATATTCTGAACAGGGAGTAAGCTTAGATCTATGAAGAGTGGGGGTGTGTGTTGCCAGGGATGGGATTTAGTGATTATTCTTACTGCGGCTTTTTGTTGGGTTATTATTGGCTTTAGGTGTGTTGCTGCAGTTGAACCCCAAGCACAGACAGCATAGGTGAGGTATGGATATATAAGTGAATGGTATAGTGAGAAGGGCAGTTTGCGGTACGTAGTATCGAATCTTGGAGAAGATCCCCACCGTTTTGGATACTTTTTTTGTTATGTGTTGGATATGGGTGCTGAAATTTAGGTTGTTGTCGAGGTATAGGCCAAGGAATTTGCCCTCATTATGTCTGGCAATTAGAGTGTTGTCGATCTTAATGTTAAGTTGCGCAACACTTGCTCTGCTACCAAACATAATATAGTAGGTTTTGCCAATGTTAAGTGTAAGTTTACTGGCTGTCATCCAAGTCGATATTTTGAGCAGCTCCTCGTTAACAATGGTGTTGAGGGTGGCAAGATTAGGGTGGGAGATGACATAAGTCGTGTCGTCAGCAAAGATAATGGGTTTCAGGTGTTGGGATATGTTTGGAAGATCATTGATATAAATGAGGAAGAGCAGGGGTCCAAGGACACTTCCCTGCGGAACTCCAGTATCCAGTGGCCATATTGATGAGGCTGTGTCTTTAATGGTGACATACTGATACCTATTAGAAAGGTAGGATTTAAAATATGCAAGCGCACCACCTTTGAGCCTTGTTGGACTGGGGACACAGCCAGTGGTCACCCATGGCCCTCCAGAACTACAACTACTGATGCCAATAACAAAATCCCCCCAACAAACACAGAATACAACCTCATTCATATTTGCTAATATACAGGGCCTTAAGTCATCCACCAACAACAAAATACCTTTTATCAGTGGACTTCTAGAGGAGTCTAATGCAATGTTTGCAGCCTTCACAGAGACTCACACAAAAGATCACTTTGACAGTGAAATATGGATAAGTGGTTACAACCTTTTTAGATGCGACAGAAACAACAGGCTACAAGGGGGGGTTGGCCTGTATGTCAAAGAGTTGCTCATCTGCACGGAGTAGCTGAGCACCACAAATGAGGTAGTTGAAGTTCTATCAATAAAGATCGAGAACCAAAACCTAGTCATTGTGGTGGTATATAAACCACCAGATGCAACTTCCCAACAGTTCAAGGAACAGCTACTGAAAATTGATTACTGTCTGGAAAACCTTCCAGCTCCATCCCCAAACATTTTACTGCTTGGTGATTTCAGCCTAAGGCATACAAAATGGAAGAATGTAGCAAATAATGTTATAGCAGAAACAATCCCTGAAGGTAGCGCAGATGAAAGGTCACACACACATGAGCTACCAAGTCTCTGTGATAAACACACCTTAAGCCAGCAGATAGTGGAGCCAACAAGACTAGAAATTATGAGGACCTGGTAAGAGACATAACAATATCAAAAACAACTAATTCCAATCACAATCTAATCGAAGTCCAGACTTGCATGCACAGGAGTCCTGATCAGCAAAATGCATGTACCTGTGATGGTGTCTTCACAAAATACAACTTCAACAACAAGAACATCAACTGGGACCAGGTAAGCCATGTCTTAAATGAAACATGTTGGGAAGATATTTTAAATAACATGGATCCAAACCAGTGCCTTGAAAAGATCAACTTCCTGGCAACTGAAGCATGTTCTTGGCATATTTCCCTAAAAAAGAAGAAGAGCAGGAGTAAACTGGAGAGAGAAAGACGCTCCCTCTACAGAAGATGACGAAGAATCACTGAGTTCCTCAGGAACGCTAGAATATCTGATACACGGAAGGAGGCACTGACCAGGGAAGTGGAAACTATCGAACTTAAGTTAAAGGACTCTTACAGGAGCCAGGAGAGACAGGAGGAGCTTAAAGCTATTAGTGACATTGAAAGAAATTCGAAATATTTCTTTTCATATGCCAAAAACAAGACAAATACCACATCTAGTATCGGGCCCTTTCTCAGACAGGATGGGACTCACACAGATGACAACAAGGAAATGAGTGAAATACTGAAATCCCAGTACGACTTTGTGTTTAGTGAGCCACTAATCAGTCTGAGGATCGACGACCCAAATTATTTCTTCATAAATGAGCCTCAAAACTCCATAAATATATGCCAGATTTCCGACATTACCCTAACTCCGATAGACTTTGAAAAAAACATTGACAACATGCTCATGCACTGAGCCCCAGGCCCAGACTCGTGGAACTCTGTGTTCATTAAGAACTACAAGAAATCCCTCTCACGTGCCCTAAGTGCACTATGGAGGAGGAGCCTGGACATTGGTGAAATTTCAGTCACTTAAAACAACGGGTATAGCCCCACTCCATAAAGGTGGCAGCAAAGCATTAGCTAAGAACTATAGACCAATAGCTCTAACGTCCCACATCATAAAAATCTTTGAAAGAGTGCTAAGGAGCAGGATTGCAAACCACTTGTATTCCTCAAAACTGCACAATCCAGGGCAACATGGGTTCAGGGCAGGTCGCTCCTGCCTCTCACAACTACTGGATCACTATGATATGACCTTGGATGCACTGGAAGAAAATCAGAATGAAGTTGTAATATACACAGACTTTGCAAAAGCGTTTGACAAGTGCGATCATGGCGTAATAGCGCACAAAATACATGCCAAAGGAATAACTGGCAAAGTGGGGAGATGGATATTCCACAAGGCACAGTACTCACCTCCATCCTGTTCCTCATCCTCATATCAGACATAGACAGAGATGTAACTCACAGCACCGCATCATCCTTTGCAGATGATACTAGGATCTGCATGAGGCTGTCATCTACTGAGGACACGGTTAACCTCCAAGAAGATATAAACAAAGTTTTCCAGTGGGCAACGGAAAACAATATGATGTTCAACGAGGACAAATTCCAACTGCTCCGTTATGGAAAACTGGAGGGGATAATAACTAGGACAGAGTCTATATACAAAACTCTGGCTAAATAGAGCGGAAAAAATAATGTAGTGATCTGGGAGTAGAATGTCTGAGAGATTTCACTGTAGTGATACTGGTCCTGTGGGGAGCAGCAGCAGGATAATACTGCACCACCTC